TCTCAGACAAAGAAGTAAAAGCAGCAAGTAAATATATGAAAAAATGTTCCACATCACTGGTCATTCAAGAGTTGCAGATGAAAACAACACTGAGATTCCACCTCACCCCACAAAGAATGGCTGTTATCAAGAAATCACACAAAAACAAATGTTGGCTGGGTTGTGGGGAGAAAGGAACCCTTCTCCATGGTTGGTGGGAGTGCAGATTGGTGCAACCACTATGAAAATCAATATGGAGATACCTCAAAGAGCTTGGACTGGAGGTTCCATTTGACCCAGCCATCCCTCTGCTGGATATCTTTCCAAAAGAACTAAAAGAATCATATCACAGAGAAGTATGTGCACCCGTGTTTATAGCGGCACAGTTTGTAATAGCTAAAACTTGGAAACAGCCCATTTGCCCATCCGTTGGAAACTGGATAAAGAAGATGTGGTTTTTCTATAAAATTCAATATTACTCAGCCATAAAGTATGAGAAAATAGATTCATTCATAGGAAAATGGATACATATTGAGGATATACTCCTAAGTGAAATAAATAAGTCACACATGTGTAAATACCAAATAGTTTCTCTGGTGTGAAAAACTACAATAATACATAAAATCCTAGATGGAAATAAAGTGCTTGTAGATGGGGAGGGGAGGAGAGGGTGAAGGGAGGGCAGGGACAAGGGGAAAAAATGAGAACCAAGACCTGTCATGTAAAGGCACAAGATCCCAACGATGAATGTAACTGTTTTGTATCCCTAAAATGTACCAATAAACTCAATCAAAGCTGACAAAAAAAAAAGAAAATAGAATGGTAGTTGTTAGGGGCTGGGAAGGGTGACAATGAGGAGTTACTGTTTAAAGTGCAAACTTTCAGATTTGCAAGATAGAGAAGTTTGGGGATGGGTGCAAACAATGTGAATATTGTGACACAGCAGACCTGTATACTTCAAAGGATCAATTGTCTCCCAGTACTGCAAAAAGAATAGGATGGTAAGTTTCATATGTTTTGTGGTCACTCCAGGTATCATAAAAATGCATTGACTGTTTTGGAATTATCTGAGTCTCTTGCCCAAACACCTTCTTGCTTTAGTCGAATTCTTATTGGCATCGGCTTATATTAAGCTGTCTTAATTCTTCCGTCCCAGGATGGTCTCTATTTCTTTTCACCTACATAAATCCTACACGAAGAAACTCTGGTGACCCTGCTGTAGGATGCCCAGCCACATCCTGCTTTCCTCCCAATGTAGCGAGGATCCAGCCTAGACCTCTTGGCTTCCCCCTGCCTTCAGGGCTGAGTACTGCGGACTCTGTGGGTAACTCACCTCCCTCCCTGTGCGATCTCACGTATTGCTTCTGCTTTCTTGTGAGGGCGCTTGTTCACTCCCAGTAGAATTTAAGCACGTGGAAGACAGGAGCCATCATCCCCACACTGGGGCTCACGCGCGTCTTTCCCGGAGCTCTGCCCACAGCCGGCCCACAGCAAGACTGGTAAATGGACGCACCCGCGGACGGATGGATGGGCGGCTCAGGGTGATCTTGAACATGTAGCTGAGCCGAAGGCGCTGTGAATTGAGGGCGGCTTCATCTGTGAACGACTCCAGCTCCGAAGCCCCGTGCTTTACCTGCATTCCTTGCTCCGCTCTGAGGTTTCTCTTCCTCAGCAGCCTCATCTTGTTTTATCTCAGGGACACTTGTGCCCCAGCCTGGATGGTGCTGGGGCGAGGCAGTGCTTCCACCCGCCCCACTGCCACCCTCTTTCACTGCCCTTTTTGGTTTTAAGGGGTTTGCTATCAACTGATACACAAAACAGACAGTAAGTAACAAAAATAATAAACGTCAGGTCCTATACAGCATAGTGACCAGTGCCCGGTACATAATGTTAGCTCCTCGTCCCTCCGCTTACCTGCTGTTAGTGCTACACAATCTACTTTAACCTTGTTTTTGTTGTTACTTGTAAATGCCGTGTTTAGTGATAAGAACATTCGATGTTTTGGGGCAACCTTCCCCACTGTCCTCCTCAGGAGCTATTTAATTTTCCAAAACAGAAACTTTGTTTTTTTAAAATTAATTTTACTGGTATACAATATAATGACATTCATTATTGGAAATTTGCACCTTTACATAATCCATCTTGGTTCTTATTTTCCCCCTTCCCCTGCCCACCCTTCAACCCCTCCATCCCTCCCTATTTACAAAGACTTTGTTTCCATTTTTTCATATTCATCACACCCTAACTGCCCATTTCACCTCCACTGTCTGTCTCTATAAATCTGACCACTCAAGGTAACTCAATGTCTCACTTGCTTTTTTCTTGTTGCTGAGACAAAATACCTGACCCCCAAAGTTAAAGGAGAAAAAGATTTATTTAACTGACAGTCTGTGGAAGGTTCATTCTGTAAGTGTCTGGCTCCAAGGCAGGCTGGCATCACAGAGGAGAACAGTTTGTGGCAGGCAGAGGGTAGCAAAGCAACAAGGGACCTTAACAGAGTCTTTCTGCCCTTTTTTGTCTTATCCAGACTACTTAGGGCACGTGGCACTCACACCCTTAATCCTAGTGCCCTGATGCCTAGCGCCGCACCAGGAATGAAACCCAGTGTCACACACTCTAGATCCAGCTACCTCTGAAAAAGCCCCGCCTGTGACTGCATGAGGCTTTGGGGGACGTCTAGACCCAGCCATCACACTCACTTGTGTGGATTCATACAGTGTTTGTCCCTTTTGTGACTGGCTTGTTTGACTTAAAGCAATATCCTCAAGGTTCATCCGCCTTGTAACATGTTTCAGAATTTCCTTCCTTTTGATGCCTGAATAATATTCCATTTAACCTTTGAAGTCTCCATTACATTCTCTGTAAAATAGGACAGTAGCTCATCTTTCAAATATTGTAGTGTGGACTTAATGAAATCTTGAAAAATAAAGGACAGTGCCCAACACAGTGGATATTAATTTAACTTCCTTCTCTTACCTTTTTAAATTATAATCTCTTAAGGGCCGGGGATTTAGCTCAGCAGTTCGGCAGCCTGCCTTGCAAGCGCAAGGACCCAAGTTCAATCCCCGGTACC